CTGACCTTCAGAGGGCCGGGGCGGCGGGAAGGCCTCCCCGGGGGCGGCCGGCCCTGAAGCCTCTCTCAGGCCTGGCCCTGCGGCCGCAGGGCCCTGCGCCTCCTTTCCCGCAGGAGAGAAGGGGGCCGGGGGGTGTTTTCTGTCTCCTCTGCGGGCAGGCGGCCACGGATCGCTCCCGCCGTCTCCTCTCGGTGAGCGGGGAGCCAGGGATGCATGCTTCGTGGTTAGTTCACGTCCAGTGGTGCCCTTGGAACTACTCCATGAGGATTTAGGGTTTTAAATAAATCCTGATAATCCCTCAGTTAAGAAAAAAACAGAACACCTATCTGTATAGAATAAACTATTTCTGAAGGATCTGAAGGTTGTGTTTTTTTAACTGCTGCACTACCTTAGGACTGCTTGTCGCTTCCAGTGCTGTGGTATCCACACTTCCTTGTTCAGAAAAATGTAGTCTTTGGTGCTTTGTCTCTGAGCAGCAGAGCTTTGTGGGAACCTACAAAATGGTAGGTAGTGCCAGAGCCCTAAAAGGCTGCTGAGGAGGCAACATAGGAAAGCCTGCTGCAGGTTTTAAAATGGCTTCAAAGTATAAAAGCAGTGCCAAAATGGAAGACAAAAGATAGGTATGGTACACTGGTAATATTTTCCAAAGGTTCAAGTTTATTAATTCAGTTAAAAAAAATATGTATAGATCTTTCTGAAAGATATATTAGTGTCCCAGAAAAACGAGTTATTTTAGTAGAGGAGAAAATGAGAATGACATTCCTCCAAGTCTGTTCCTGCATTTATGAGAAAACAGCATTTCCAGACTTGAAACTTCCTCTTACCAATGTTCGTGTTCACTGTACAATAAAAACACGTTGCTGCTTTTGTACTTGCAGACCTCAGTTCATGAAACTGAAACCTTTGCATGTTCTGAAATGTAAGTGCAGGTTATCTACCTTTGTGGTTTTGTCTCTGTGCACAGTCGTGTTCATGCTGCATCTTTGGTTTTGTATTTACTGTTTTCCACAGTGGCCTGCTGAAATCAAGTAGGTGCTGTCTCAGGTGGACCCAGATTAAATGACTGGGTTTTGGGTCTGCTCCTAGTACAGCCCAAAATTAGAGTTTTGCAGCTTTTATCTTGATTGTCCTTGAAGTTTTGTGTGGCTTCTTACTCTTCTGATACACTTATCAAAGACTCAAAATAAGATTATGATCTTAGGAATCTGAAAACTTGGGAAGACATTAAAGTCTCAGATACAGACTTCTCACATTGCTGTGGTCAAATGGTGGCATTCTTCAGAAAGATGAGCAGGGTCAATAGGCTCAGAAATGCCTCCCTTATTGTAAAGCTCATTTTCTATGTAAATGTCCTGGTTTGTTCAAGATGAGAAGAGTTATCCTGTCATTACCAAATCGCCAAGCTGAACTATGTAAATCTTCATAAGGAACAGTGACTTTTATGATAGCCTTTTGCCTTTTTTTAAAAATACATAAATTTAGAACAACAGAACAGTCTGGGTACATGCTAATCCTCCTTGTTTTCCCGGCCCTTGTTCCGTGTAGGTAAACCTCTGTGCTTGTTTTAAAAATCCAAGCCTTAGTCTGCAGTCTTGAAACCTCACAATGGCTACTTCTGAAAGTAGCACTGCTTCTTCAAACACCTCCAAATACCAGACAGGTCTTTGTTGTCAGTGTACAAAAAATGGTCATAACCTTTAGTGTCTAAGAGTTGAATGGGCTTGGAGTATTTGTGTGGACTAAAGAAGCTTCTTACAGTGTGTTGTGGCTTTTTAGTGTGATATGTTTTCCCTGAACTGTTAGTTATTGCTTGTAGAAAGTCATACCATAACTGTGGTGCAATGATAGGTGCATCATGTTGCTTTGTAGTACAGCATTTAATCTGGCTCTGATTTGCAGGAGCTAACAAACAGCTCATTATCTGTAATTTCCCCAGGTTTCCAAATGTGACGAAATTATTGTTTAAACATTGCTGAGTATTTTAGAAGCAGAGAGGGTTGCTCTAGACAGTCATTCCCCAGCAAAGTAATGGAAATGAGGGATCATTCACAATAGCATTAATCTTACCCTCTTTCCAGGTTATTTTGATGGAAGCTTCTACGTAGAACCAAATTCAGTGGAGCAGGCATGTGGTTAAAAAGATAAAAGAGCCCAAATATCAAAGTAGCTTCATTACACAGATACCTTGTGTCTAGGGGGTTGGAAGGCAATGTCTTTTTCATACCTTTTGTGGCGATATGTCACTCTTTGTGCTGGAATACGTGACCTTATTCAATGGCTATTCTATATTAATTTCCTCAGTGTACAGCTCTAAAGGTAGGAACTTGCTTATTGGTTATAAACAGTATAATTTTATCAACTGTTGGAGATACCTCCTCTTATCAAATAGCTGAATGCTGATTAGGCAGTGCAGTGTAGGCTAGTTGTGGTTTACACATATTAAAGCATAATTACAGCCCAGACAAATTATAATTTAAATGCTACGAGCACATTACTGCCTCTGTCATATAGCAAAAAGAAAAAGAAAATGTTTTGATCACCAGGCCCTAGAGAATATGTAAACTTAAATTAGGAAAACTCATGTGATCTGTATTTTTCAACTTTCACTCTGTAATTTACATCTGCTCTGGATCTATTTGGAGAATAAAGTTCAGTTCACTAAAGTACTTAAGAGCCACTGATGCCAGTGGGAGATTTTCTGTTGACTTCAGTGAACTGTGAATCAGATCTGAGGAGATAAATCCAGCTCTTTCTGAAGTCAGAATTAGTGTGATACTGGGATCTGGCCTAGGTCTTTATGAGGTTATTTCTGGGTCTTCTCTAGAAATTGGGTAAGTGGGCCTTGTGATACTCCCCAGCCACAGAAAAGGGACAAAATCTGCATTCAGGGAAAGTTGCAAGGGTGTATGAATCACTCCTGAAGTATCAGGAAATGCTGCAAGGTGGGGCTGTGACATGCACTATGGTCAGCAGATCAGTGAGATGAGTGGAGAGAGCATGATCAGTGCCATTGGAGTATTTGGCAATCTCGCTCTAACTGAGAATCTTCAGAGGCTGCAAACCTGATCAGTTTGGGGTGTACCCTTCCGAAGATAACTGAAGTCTTGTCCTTAGAAAGTAGGCCATGCATTATACCAAATTGCAAAACAGAGTCTTACTAGTGTTTCCAAAACAAAATTAATGGCTTTCGAAAATTCATGATGACTTTTCACTGGTTAAGGCTGACAAAATTAGAAACAACCAGAAACAGTCTTATACTCAAAAGTGCCAACCATTTTTTTGATGGTAAACATTGTTATATACGTTACCTATATTATAGATTGCTTGGGAACTTTTTATTAGGACAGTTTTAGAAAGTTTGTGTTCATTTTTTTCTGGACTGCACCATCTTCATAAAATGAAGCCTTGAAAGGACTGTAGGAAGAGGACAGTATTGAGAAATTATTTAGAAAATCTTGTCCATGATGTTTTCTGAAGGTTCCATGACTTCACAGATCGATATATGCTGCTGCTCAAAGGAGTATAATAAAACTGGTGTTTCTGTGTGTTGTTGTTGGTTGGGTTTTTTTTTTCAGGTTTGAGAACACCATATAACAGGTAATGATTGTTATATTGATTTGAATAATGAGTCATGGAGAACTTAAATGTTTCAGCCATATGGAGCTGGTCAAATATAGAGCCAATAAGAAAATAAATGAGCAGTCCTATGTCTTTCTACTAGACTGTCTAACGACTGAACACCATAAAAAATCTAGTTTATACATTTTGTTTATTTTTGACCTGTTTCTAGATTATTACTTTTTTTCTTTGAATAATAACACAGTTTATAAATGTAACTATGTTTGTGTATTTTGCCAAAATTGTCACGCATACCAGAGATGGAAATTAGTTCAGAGACAGTGGCAACACTCACAAAGCTGTCCCTAGAGTCAGAAGCCCGCAGCTTGGTTCTCTATCAGGCTGGAGACCTTTGACTGAAAGTAAGAGTATCTACTAAGAGGTAAAGCGCTGTTGGTTCAGAGGTTCACAAAACTAGACAGGGTGTAGCCACAGGAGAGAAATGCTCATGCAATTAATGTATGTTCTATTTGTGTCTTTGAGGATTATAGAAACCAACCTGTCTGATATGTTGTGGCATCTTCACCTCTCTGCCAGGGCTTAGTCTTCACTCCAGTGGGTGGGGTCAGTAAGAGGCTTGTCATCCTTGCCTTTACTTACCTGAAAACATATCTCCATGGCTCTTATACCAACAGCATTTTTTAGAGCATCTTTGTCAGCATTCAAAGCTCCTTAAAATGCACAGCATTAGACGCAAACACTTGATAATTCTTCATCTAGACTACTTCGTAGCAGAAAGGCAAGCCTATTGCTTTCATACTGTGCCCAACTCCCCAGAATACTCACTGGTTTAGTAGGGCTTGGAAAGGGCTCAGGGGAAAACACCAGATAGCAAACTGTAGTAAGAGAAGCCCCATTTACACCAAATTTGTTTCAATTCTGGCATCTGAGATACTTTTTTTTGCCCTTTTAGCCATTCTCTGTGAAAGAAGATACAGATGGAACTTTGTCAAAACACTTGTTAAAAACTGTTTGAGGGGAGTCCTAAATAGTTTTTAACATGTTTTATCGCATGACAACATCTCTGTGCTGTAGGCAGAGCCAAAGCAGATGGTTATGCAGACATATAGTTGTCCTGTCTCTCAGTATGGTGTTTTATCGGAAGGTACATTAAGTACTTTTCTGACAACGTGAAGGTGTCTGCCATTAAATTTGCTTGTGTCCTACTTGTGTATATGTACAGGTCACTAGAAGGCTAGGTAGACTGTGGATTTACAGTATGTCAGGTAACCCACAGTAACAACCTCTGTACACAGCTGTACCCAGCAGTAAGCAAGAGACATTTATTCCTCAAGGTAAACAGGATCACAGCATGCACACAGGCAGTTTCCAGGGAGCAGCTAACATGCTGGAAATCTCCACCCACTCTTGCCTCACTAACTTGTGCGTGTAGTCATACCCCAAGCAAAGGTTAATAAATACACCCATAAGCTGAGCAGAAAAATCTCATCCCACAAACACCATTTCGCATAACACAATGGACAAAAAAGAGTAGAGTTAACAGAGCTAGGGGTTCCATAGCTCACAGAATGCTTTTTTTTTTTTTTTCCTCTTGATGAAATAAATTGCTTTTGTGTCGCGACTACTTTCCTAGTTTGAGTTTCCCTTATTTTTTCAGTTAGCAATAGCTGTTACCAAAGTTCATCTGTTTCTCTTTGCCCTTTAATTTACAGCCCCTGTACTAGTCATTTTATTGCTTCAACCTCTGAGTGAGAGAACTTTTACAACTTGTGATTACCGAACTCAGAGAAAGAAGAAAGCTTTTTGACCTGCTGTGGAGTAATTATAGAGCCCACTGCTTCTTGGGAGGGGCATTCAATGTTTTAACAAACTGTGGCAACACTAATTTAACCATGTGGAGTCTGGACCATTGGATGGGAATGAAAAAAAAATTCCAGACTTTCCGGCTTGTGTTTTAACTTGTCTGCTTTTAGTCTCCAAAGGGCTGTCCTTTAAGTTCTGCCTTCCCACTACTGAACTTGACGCTGTTCCTTTCTGAGCAGTATGAGGGGATTGAAGCCAAACTATTTGCATATGAAAATAATTTTCCCTTACTTCAGAAATTATAGTTACATTACTCTTGATTAATCTTTTCATGGGGTGAGTCTTCTGAATGCTGTGCCTTGAAAATAAGGCTCTTGACGATAGAGAAATTGTTCTGTCTTAGCTATTACTATATTTTCATATTATAGGGGCTGTGGTCATGGACAAAGATTCAGTTGTATTCAACAGTGTAAAAACAGGGAATAAATAGATACCCTGTGTTTGAAAGAGTTTGTGATCTGAATAGTGTGACCAGTAAACTGAGAGGTAAATCTAAACTTTGGAATTGGAAAATGGCATGAGAAGGATTTGATGCAATTTAAATATTTTGCCTCACTATAGAATCGTCATCCAGCTACCTAGGAGTTTGAAGGCTGTTACCTATTCTTCATCCACTCAAATGGCTGTTGTTTTAAAAAATGCTGAACTCACCTTCAGGAAAAAATACATTATTTTCAAAGTAGCAGGTTTTTTACTTTTGATCTCCCTAAATATAAAGGTAGATTTATTTCCTGCATAGTAATTTGCATAGATCTTTCATGATTTTATGTACTAACGTGTGCATATATATTACATCAGTGAGACTATGCATTTGGGGTATTCACTAGGTGTGAATGGAGTATTTTCAGATAATGTGATTTTATGAAAATGTTTTTTAAAGTAAAATTCATGGAAGTTTTATTGGTTCAGCTCCATTGTCATCGTAAAGATTTTTGAAGTCTAGGGTTTGCTAGTTGTTTCTGAGAGATGAGAGGAGAAAAACAGAAGCTGAAGTGTTCTCATTTTTCATTGCAAATGCAGGCATGCCAGCAGCGCCCTGGGCACGGCCGACACGCACCTGCTCCCTGCTCTGGCACCTGTGTCCCGGGAAGCCTGGTGCTCCTGGCAGCCAGAACAAATGTCTCCAGGGTCATGGTGCTATAGAGGAGTCCTGTTTATTAGTCCTCTTTGCACAACACGGTATGAAGAAACAGCATGGGTAACAAATAACCATGGTTATTAAATATTCCCCAATGCAAAATACAATCTCCAGTGGCTTTAAAAAGTTAGAATATGGTGCATGACATCAGAAGGTTCAAAAAAACACTTAAAGGGGTACTGTATGGTTCATCCTTTTCCCTTTAGTGTAAAATACGCACTCAGAGTTTGGAGTTGCTGATGTTGAGAGTACATCATTCATCACTTGCCGTTTTGTGACATGATGATGAAGACCTAACGTAGTCTATCTCATCTATTTATTTTGAGAAAATAATTGGAACTCTTCAGATAACTACTTCATATCATTTACAACCAGCACAGAACTAACAATCCTTAAAAATAAATCATAAAGGCTTCCACTGTCTGCTTTGTATTAGTTCATACCGGATCTCAGTCTATTTACAGTAGAAGTGAACAGCAAGTTCAAACCTATGTCCCCAGTACTTCATGTAGATTTGCTGCTGCAGAGGACTTGGCTGTTTTGAAGTATGCAGAAGCAGCATGTTTAAACATGCACTGTTTGCTGGCAGCCTTGACATTCTTTTACCATTTGCTGGTTTAGTCTAGTCAGTACACTTCTTGTTCACTACATAATTTCCAAATTATTTTTTCCTTCTAGTTCCTGAATTTCTCAGTACCTGAGAATAACTACACCTGTTCTTGGACTTAAGTACTAGAAAACCCTGCTGTATGCTTAGAAGTTCTTTTCAAGTAAACAAAGCTGAAAACAATTTCTCGTCTATCCATTAATGACATAGACTTAAGTGGCACCAGACCACTTGTAGTTCTAATCATACTGTAACATTTTTCAAAAGCAAGGATTTAGGTATAGGGCACCCTTGCAGTATCCTTACTTGCCACCTCAAGTAGCAAACATGTAAGGCAAGTCTGTTATGCTTAGTCCTAGCCCAGGCACCATGATGCATTACTGATTTGTTTCATGCAACTCATCTAAATCCTTATTCTCTCTTCCCACATAAAAAACAGGTTTCTGGTGATAGATGTGGGTTCAGGTGGTTTATCTGTACCTTTCTAATTTACTGAAACTTGTATGACTTGCTACACCCTTTATTCTGAACAAGTTAACCACATGTCCAAAGTTTGCTTTTTAGAGGAACGTTTCAGTTTAGTTATGGTCTTTAGGAACTAAGCTCTTGGCCTGTATGCATTTCATCTAGAACATGTTTGATTGAGAGGCTGGGTTCCCCTCAACAAGGTCAGGGAGCTGTCTCTACAGGGACGAGAGACTTTTTTTCCTATTTCACAATCAACAATTGGGAAAAGTCTGTAACTGAAAAATATTTATTTTACTGTGAACAATGATCTGTATTTAAAAGAAGCAATAGTTTTTCTTCATGACTTTGTTTAAAAAGAAATACCAGGTGTTCTTCCTATGCTACTTTATCTTTCTTAAACAAAGAAAAGTTCACTGCAAAGGGGATCAGAGGCAAGAGGCATTTGTTTTCATACCTCACAAATATTAAAAGATTTTTAAAAATTTATGTATAGTCTAAATATAATTTATTAAAATGCTAGCCCTGTGTTTTTCTTCAGTGACGCTTCTTAATCTATCTGTAAATGACTCAATCACTGAAAAATTTGAAGTTCGTTTTTCATTTAAAGGAAGCAAGCGGCTCTGCAGCTTCAATGCATTTATGGGTTTGTTTTTTGTTTTTTGTTTTTTGTTTTTTTAAATAAGATTTTTAAAGAATCCCAGGTCTTTCAAACCCAGGTCTTATTCATTATATATAGATATATATAAACATCCGTTAAAACTGTGATAACATACAAAGATAAAGAGTAGCTAAACTGGGTTAATGTTCACCTACAGGAAGGATTAGGAATTAAGTATAACACGAAATCCAGTGTATTATACTAGACAAATGCTGCATTGTCTCAGTTTAAATTGCTGGTGGTGAAACAGTGCCCCCTGATGCCCAGCAAACTACTTGGAAATCGGAAAGCTGCATTCTTCCGGATATTCTGGGATGAATTGTTCGACGACCTTGTAGAAACTGTAGTTAATAACAAGCAAAGTTGAGAACCAGTTAAATCCACTATATCATGCAGAGGATTTAGAGTCATGTAAAGTTCTGTTTCCTTAGTGTCAGTGTGTTCAGGCATCAATCTTTCCATGTTGATGTTCTTCCATGATGTTTCCAAGTTGAATCCTTGGGTCATCCTCATTTTAAAAATCCTACCTCAGGCTGCTGCGTCCTGCAAGGAAAAAAAGGTCATGTTGCAGATTTTCTCACAGATTTTTCTTACAATTTCAGTTTCCTCAGATCTGAGCCAAGGTTATGCAGGTAGTCTTTATCAGAGCAGAGCCCTGAGTCCTGGGAGGTAGGGGACAGTACAGTGGGGGTTAAAGGGTCACAATACCTGTTGAATAACTTAACTCTAACAGATTTTTGAGTGAAAAGAAAAAAAAATCTTTTATTATTTAGTCGCAGAACCACCAGCTCAAGAAATATTTTAGAAAGCGGAGAACTACAGGAAACAAACATACAAATCCTGGAAAGCTCTGTGTGGATAAAGATCTACATTTTAAGTAATTTTTTATTGATAAGCCAAGGAATACAAATATGAGGGTGTAAAGACTAAGAAAGCATGCACTTTACAATTATCATTGCAGTATTACATTTTGCAGTAGGGCAAAAAAATGACAGAAGTTTGTTTCCTAGTCTGAATGGTTTAGATGGTTATGTGGAAATTTCTGTAACTTATCCTTTCTTTGTTTTCCACAGTTACCAAATGAATGGTAATTAATTGGAGAGTGCTTTGAGTTCCTTAGAGAAAAGATATTATGCAAAAATAAAAATTCAACGCAGTGTAAGTCAACCTGAATACACAGGTATATGGAGAACCTCAAAGAAATAGTTTGCCCAACTGATGTATTTAGTATCATCTTTGCCCTGCTGGAAAAGTTTCCTGATTTCAGCCTGTTCCATACAGAGATGTTAATTCATACATTTACTGCTTGATATGTTTCTTCCCTTTCTAGGGTACAGTATCATAAACTTGATGTGACCTTTCCCTGAATATGCTCACTAACTCAAGGCACCTAAATATAGTTGTCTAGCACATTATTAATAAAAAATGAGGAAGGGGTAGAAAGGCCTCTCATTACCATAACAAATGAGACCAGTTACACTTTAATTGGCCTGTACAGGGGGAAACAATGAAACTAGATGCCACCTTCCTCGAACAAATCTTTAGGTCTTTTGTTAACAGACAGTAAGATTTCACACTGAATCTTACTGGTGAAGGGAGTTTTTCATTATTGCTACATTTCAATAGACAGCCTTACACTAATCGCAAACTACTACATGTGTTAATTGCTTCTATGGAAAAGTAACAGCAGGTTGTATTGCACTTGTATTTTTAATGATTTTTAAAGTTAGGTTTGCCTTCTCCCTCACGTCCCGCGTCTTCTGGGGTGTGTGTGTGTGTACGTGTTTTATCATCCTGGGGAGACGTTTTAAGGACGCTTTTACAATGTTGCTGGGCAGCTGAGAGATTTAAAGTCTCGTTGTAAAACAGTTTACGGTAGAGGAAAGGGTAACGGCCCCCCACAGGCAGCGCTG